CTGGGCTGGGCCAGGGCTGGGAGCAGAGCTCTGACGAGAGCGGGGTGCAGGTTTACAGTACCACGCGCTGCAAGTGCTTAGCGTGGCTGCAGCATTTGGGAGCGTCACTCTGATGGAAGGGAATGCATCCCAGAGCAGGGCGGCGGCGGCACACAACCAGGTCCTGCCGGCTGGCATCGGCAGCCGCACTTGACCCTGCCTGCCAGCCATGTGAAGCCAGAGTTGGGAGAAAGAGCCTCAAGAATGGAAGGGGAGCCGGGCGCCGGCGACTCACGCTGTCATCCTAGCTAGCAGGAGGCTGAGAGCTGAGGATCACAGTTCAAAGCCAGCCTGGGCAGAAAAGTCCATGAGACTCTTATCTCCAATTAACCACCAGAAAACCAGAAGTGGCACTGTGGCTCAAGTGGTAGAGAACTAGCCTTGAACTGAAGATCTGAGGGACAGCGCCCAGGCCCAGAGTTCAGGCCCCATGACCAACAGCAACAACAAAAAAGAATGGAAGAGTGACCAGCCATATTGAACCCTGCAAACATGTCACACTTGGTGAGGACTTCTTCAGGACTGTGTACAACATCAGCCGTACAAAACATGGTGCAACAGAGAACCACCTCTTGCCATTTGGAAAGTCCATATCCTTAAACCAGCTTGCAAGTCAGAGCAAGAAGGAAGGAAAGAAAGAGAGAGGGAGGGAAGGAGGGAGAGAGGGAGGAAGGAAGGAAGGAAGGAAGAAAGGGAGAGAGGGAGGGATGAGAGGAAGGGAGGGAGGAAGGAAGGAAGGAAGGAAGAAAGGGAGGAAGGAAGGAAGGAAGGGCATCAGCTTGCTCATTTTCAGCCTCTTCTAGTTTCTCACACAGGTATCAATGCTGTGATTTTGCCTCTAAGCATGGCTTTGACTGCATCCCATGAGACTTTTTAAGACTATTGCTCAACTTCTAAATAGTTATCCTTTAAATTACTTTTCTATTCACATACATTGTGATCAGAGAAGGTACTGCACATAATTTAAATTCTTTGAGCCTGAGTTGAGGCTTGGTTCTCAGTGGGAAGCAAGCTGTAAGGTTTTAGTTTCTATCGCAGAGTTGGGTGCTGTGGAGGACATCAGATGTCAGTTAGGTTGAGATGGCTGAGCATGCTATCTGTATCTGTGTATCCTACTGATATCTTTTCTGTAAGTTACTGAGAGAGATAAGAAGGACATTAATTGCCAATCAATCCATTTCCATTACTGTAGTTGTGTCTGTTTTCTGTGCTTTCCAGCTTCGTGGTAGCTTGTCTCTGCCTTTTATTGCATATGTGACGTCGAAATGTAAACACTGTTGGTAGAAATAATTTGAGACCTAGGACGCTGTTATTTCCTCCTGTAGGGTCTGAAGGCTGTCTGGGGCACTGCTAATTCTCAATCCAGCTTTTGAGTTTGAGATTGCTTCAAGCTCAGCAGCCCACCTTGACTTTTGGGCGGAAAGAGGGGGGCCTAAAACCCAGGCCCTGTCACTCCTGACAGCTTCTCTTCCTGCAGCTGACAAGCTGCCAGACTCACTCCTCTGCTCCTCCGATGCTGGCAGACACCCGAAGGCCAAGTGCGCCCATGCTGAGCTCTCCTGTGTGTGTGCTGGACTCTCCTCTCTGTGTGTGCTGGACTCTCCTGTGTGTGCTGGACTCTCCTGTGTGTGTGCTGGACTCCCCTCTGTGTGTGTGTGTGTGCTGGACTCTCCTCTGTGTGTGTGTGTGCTGGACTCCCCTCTGTGTGTGTGTGCTGGACTCTCCTCTGTGTGTGTGTGTGTGCTGGACTCTCCTCTGTGTGTGCTGGACTCTCCTCTGTGTGTGTGTGTGTGCTGGACTCTCCTGTGTGTGCTGGACTCTCCTCTGT